TATTAAAGATTTTGTCAAGCACACCTGCTGATGGTCCTGAGGAGAGAGTTTTTCGATGGCTTTGTCGATATGTAAAGGAATCTGATGGTGATGTTTTGGGGAACCTTGTCCGATTCGTCACGGCAAGTAGCGTAGTTATTCCCGGTGAATGCATCTCTGTTAGATATGAGGCAATGCCGTTACTTGCAATGCGACCTAAATCCAAAACATGTTTTAAGATCCTTGTACTCCCAAAGTGTTATAATACTTTTCGAAGCATGAAAGATAATTTAGATTTCTATTTAAGAAACCAGTCACAATGGGACCTTGAAGACTGACTGGCAACAGATAGATGAACTGTATGATATATTGAATATTGGTTAATTCACATTGTGTTTTCTCTTGGTTATAAGAAACGTAAACAAACGTTAACAAATCAGTTTGACTGTGTGTGGTGACACTATAGTTAATGAACTGAATATGTTTAAGGTTGTTCCATATCAAAGGAAGTTCACTGATTTCAACAATGTCTAAACATCGTGACTTTGTTTTTTTATGTATAATAGGTATTAGAGGTGCATGTGCAAATCCGATCCGACTCCGATCGGATTCGTTCGAACTTTGGAACAAAAATATTCATTTCGGATTGGATCGGATTGATAAAGTTGTTTCGTGGTCGGATCGGATCGGACTTCGACATTCGAAATAAAAAGAATTGTCCAGAATCATGCAATGAATCATGCACTTTGTCAGCTTCTTGACATGTATTTTTTGCTTTTAGATTTATTTTGTTAAATATTTCCACTTGAATGAGAAATTTATTTTATTAAAGGATTCATCGGATCGGAATTCTTTATCAAACCTCGGATCGGATTCGGATTAGACAATTTCGGATCGGATTGGATTTTAAACATTAGCCAATTATCGGATTATAAACGTCCAATCGGATCCGGTGCACACCTCTAATAAGTATTTTATTCAATTCTAGTATGTGGAAGTTGATAGGGAATATGAGTAGTATGAGTCAAAGGTTTACAATTTTTAATAAATCGTAAACGCCATGCGCTTGCATACTAAGTAATAGTAAAAATATTTGTTGCCTTGTGTCACTTTAAACAGATTCAATGTGCGCTAGTAGAGTGACATAATAATTCTCAGCTTCAGCCACTGTTGTTGGAGCGTGGAGATTATGATCAGTGTTAATAATATCAGCAAGTTCAATAAAATTCTCATCACAGTCTCGAATTGTGTGGCGCGGTATGCACAGATCTTCTGCAACATCAACATCGTCAAGTGTAACATCAACAAGAAAGTTTTCTGTATTGTGTAGTTCTGGTATTGAATAGATAACATCTGGTTTTCCACCTGGAGGTTCTTTGTTAGCTGATTGCCTTATCCAATGCGTGTTCCAGAATTTCACAGCTTCATTCAACTCTTTTCTCAAAATTGGCATAAAACAGTAGGCGATGCAGTTGACATGAATTGGATTACTATCATCATATACGCCGGTTTCTCTCATATTTCTGAAAAACTCCATCCACCAGTCGCTATTACTTTTTCAAAGCTGAGACCACCAGGATTCGATTCTCTGGTTACTTGTCGACGTTCCATACATAAAACTCTTTTCCCCAGCGAACGAATCTTCTGAATCTGCCCTTAGGAATCTCTGAATCGCACAAACATTGACATTTTCCGTCCCTCGGTCAGCCCTCACGACTCTTGGGACAACACCTAATTGACGAATGCAGTCTAAAAAATACCTAGCAATATACGTTGGATCTTTGTTGGTGGGAAACACCTCAAGCCATAATATTCTCCGGCTGTAACCATCGATTGCCGCATGAACAGAAAATCCGTAAGGTTTCAGTTTGTCATAACCGTCTATATGCCAAATAAAGTTCGGTCCCCTACCACGGTATTCTCGACGTCTGAGACGTCTTCTTGACCTAGTTTCAACGCCATTTGGATCAAGAACTTTTAAAATTATTCTCACTGTTTCCCTAGCCACAACAAAACCATACTTTATTTGCATTCTTTGGTGCATTTGTCGGTAACCAACACAACTTCCACTGCCATTTAATTCACTTTCAATGGCTGTTATTACGTTCATATGATTCTCTTGGTTACCTCTTCGTTTCAAACCTCTTACTCTAAGAATGCGTTTCAGCTGTCTTATGCTCAGTCTAATGTCATGACGACATTGAAGAAAAAGAAGAATTTCTGTGTAAGCAAATCCAAGTTTAAAGTATTCTTCTACCAAATCATTACGCTCGACTGCTTGTTGTGTAAAAATTGGACTGTAGTCAAATGGCATAATATAGCAGTGTTAGATAACAAATGCTGGAAAAGTATTTAATAATGAAAATTCATCCCATTTGTCGGTGGAAATCCTCACGTGTTGTCTTCATCCTGCAGCAGAAAAGAGAGTACACGTTCATTGCAACTGCGAGGTTGGCTAAAATAAGTTGATCATTACCAGCCCATGCAAGCTGCTTCAGTGTACATGTGAGTATATGATCATGACTACACACGCAAAAGTCTCACATCTTGTAGCAAATCTACCAACAAGTTATCAACAAGTTGTCTTCGCACTGCTTGTCCCAAGTTGTCAACAAGTTTGGAACAAACTATTTCAATAGTTGTTAAAACAACTTGTAACAACCTTGTTGATATTATCAGACTTGTTGCAAGCTTATTCCAACAAGTGCGATATAGTCATGATATAACAATATATATTGTTACAACCTTGTGTTATCAACCTTGTAACATTCTTGTTATATTATGACTGTATCAGACTTGTTAAAACAACTTTGCTACAAGTCTGATAATGCCATCAAGCTTGTTACAAGTTGTTAACAGCTTGTTCTAAACTTGTTACAACAACTCGGAACAAGTAGTGCGAACACAACTTGTTAACAGCTTGTGAACAGATTTGTAACAACTTGTTTGCAGACCTGTAAAAACTTAGCTTGTGCGTTTTTACGTGTGTAGTCCATGCAAGCTGTTTTCATTGTACATATTGCCCTATTATATATCTTGTGATAACTGGGAGAATTCGGGGATGTCTGAATACGGAAATGGGATGTAAAACAAAACTGAAATTTCTTTACAATATTTGTTTGTTCCATTTCCTCACAGACATGCTTGGACGAATCTTGCACTTCCCTCGTGGGAATAAGAATCACGTAGTACTAGACGTACAAATATGGAGTTCTGACTCACTACATACACATACACATACACATACACATACACATACACATACACATACACATACACATACACATACACATACACACACACACACACATACACATACACATACACATACACATACACATACACATGCACATGCACATGCACATGCACATACACACATATAACAAATAATGTTGTACCTTTACATATACAATTCCAACGCATCAGTTCAACGTCTTCTTCCTGAACGTCTGATCCATATACCCTCATAGTTTTCCTCCATCTTGGATGCAATTAAAGGCTATACATAATTACATGTTGCAATATGTAATCGCTCGGCAATCATCCTCACTAAGTTGCGATTGCGTGTTGTAAGTGGCGATTTATACATATTAAGTCGCGATCGCGCATTATAAGTCGCGATTTCACATAAAAAGTCGCGATCGTGTGTTATAAGTAGCGATTTATACATAATAAGGTGCGACCGCGTGTTATAAGTAGCGATTTAAACATAATAAGTCGCGATCGCGTGTTATAAGTCGAGATCGCGCATTATAAGTCGTGATTTCACATAATAAGTGGCGACCGCGTGTTATAAGTAGCGATTTAAACATCATAAGTCGCGATCGCGTATTATAAGTCGAGATCGCGCATTATAAGTCGCGATTTCACATAATAAGTGGCGACCGCGTGTTATAAGTAGCGATTTAAACATAATAAGTCGCGATTGCGTGTTATAAGTAGCGATTTATACATAATAAGTCGCGATTGCTTGTTATAAGTCGCGACCGCGTATTATAAGTCGCGATTCACATATAATAAGTTGCGATCGCGCTTTATAACTCGCTATTGCGTGCCATAAGTTTCGATCGCGTATTATAATTGGCGATCGCGCCAATCTGCCGCAACTGCGCGATATATGTTGCGATTGCGCGTTATAACTGGCGATCATATTAAAAAGTGTGGTGTATTAATGAATGGCCCTAATGAGCCACGGTAACTTTAAGTCGAGATTAAGGTCGAGGAAGATAGCTTTTTACAGAACGAATTATACGATACCGAATTGCGTATCTCTTTAGGTATCTGATTCCATAGTTTAGCCCCACTATATTGGAAGCTTTTTTTAAGGATTCCGTTTTTGGTCTTGGAATATAAAACCTTGTTGAAGAACCTCTCAGATTATGGTCATGAATGGTATTCAGATTTTGGAAAGCTTCACATAGTCGTTGGGGGGCTAAACCATTAACTGTCTTGTACATGAGCCTGGCTTTCATTTGTGCCCTACGCTCTTCAAGTGTTATACATAACTAGAGGGCACTCAGAGACTGCATACCTCCGCCTACGCGCAAAATATTGAAGTAATCTATTGTTATTAGAATTTGAATGGCTGGTGCATATATTATGCACGTCCTAATTACGCATTCAGTATAAAGTTTTATTTAATTGACGGGAAAAGCAAGACAAACTTTTGTTATTTCTCATTCAATTTTTAACCAAATTCAACCAAATTTTAATCAGTTCTTCCTTAGCCGATGGGAAATGCACTCACAAAATTTCGTACGGATATGTTTGGTATTTCTTGAGTTATCGTGCTCACAGACAAACACACACACATACACACACACACACACACACACACACATACACACACACACATACACACACACATACAAACCCAGATGATTACATAACCTCCTGGCGGAGGTAAAAACCCAGATGATTACATAACCTCCTGGCGGAGGTAATAAGTCGCAATTGCTTGTTATAAGTAGCGACCGCGTATTATAAGTCGCGATTCACATGTAATAAGTTGCGATCGCGCTTTATAAGTTGCTATCGCGCGCCATAGCTTTCGATCGCGTATTATAATTGGTGATCGCGCCAATCTGCCGCAACTGCGCGATATATGTTGCGATTGCGCGTTATAACTGGCGATCATGCTAAAAAGTGTTGTGTATTAATGGATGGCCCTAATGAGCCACGGTATAATGAGGGAAGGCACTAGATAGGATCGACCTAAACCCCATGAGCCAACATTAACATAATATTTTATCAGCGGTGTTTTAATGAACACTAGCGAATTTCCGGAATATTCAGAATTGGTTTCCGGTTTTCAAAGAGTGAAAATTTCAGCTGTGATTTTAATCTTCTTTTCCTTTGGATGCAGTATTAAATAACTAACGCGATCGACGGCAAGTTAAATCGGTAAGTTTTATTCTAACACACAGAGTTTTACTACCTTACATAAAAGCAGAAATCTTTATTATACAATTTATCTAATTTATAATATAATCTTGACTATAAAGTAGCAATTGAAGTACAAAATGTCTATTTACATGCACTAATATACTATATATTTAATACCAGTTAATTTGCTTTAAATATATGCTAGGTCTGGTGTAGTAGAACTGGTGCAGGCTACAATTAAATCCATCTGGATTAAATTAGACAATTCTACATTAGGCCACTCCAAATTAGACTTTAGTTTCCCGTCCTCCGCCCGCGTCTCCTAGAACTGGCCGCATGATTTGTCCATTATTGCTAACTTGTTTCCATTATTTGACTTTTGTGACAAACAATTACGAAAAACCACCGTTTTCAAATAATCTATCTTTCAAGAAATACATATTATGATACAACACGTAAAAATCGAAATAAAATTCTTGAAACTTTTATCAAAGACCGTGAATTTTTTTCCGTTTTCACTACGAACTGCTGAGCTACACACTTCCGTTACAAATTTTGATTTTTGAACGTCAAAACCGATAAGGTTAATATCCTGGCTTTCATTTCTGCATAGAAAAATTCTAAAACATTGCGTAGAAACGTGACTGAATGGATATTGAAAACGAGTATCTATTTCATGAAATAATGGGCCGTATTTCATCTTTCAGAAACCATAATGGATAATGGAAATGGACCGCCCGCCCGCGTGTAATTTGAAATAAGGGCCGGACGGGAAACTAAAGTCTAATTTGGAGTGGCCTTATTTAGGGTCAAGAAATTAATAAATACACCTTTGCAGTTCAATTCATTAAATAATTTGACTAATGTCTCTGCTGATTTTTCTTGTACTTACAATTTTCAGCGTTGCCCCGGGGTCGAGGAATTTGCTAATAGCGAATAAAAAATGACAAAT